CATATTGGCTATCATACCACAGGGCAATGCCACAGACTGGTATTTCAATGCGTGGACTCTTTTGTGTCCGTTGTACACGATCCCCTGGTTTTCTTGTGGTCGGCAAATGGGTCTTACTGTTCCATCTATGAAGCCAAAGCAATTTGGCAGAGCACCTCCTTTCCTTCGTATGGTATCAGCATATGCCTGAAGTAGAGGAGAACTCAGTAAGGTTTGGTTCCATGCTGTCAGACGATGATGGTGTAAGGTGTAGACAGTATCCATTACATGACTGGTTATCATGCAAAGCTCTGGAACCGGGCGGCCAAAACGATGAATAAGGTCACTGTACCGACAGGGATACGCTAATCGTCTCAACAGAAGACAAAGGCCTTCAATCCCGTCGCATACGGTCCCCTGTTCGCATGTATACGAGTCAGGCAACCCCATTGCCTCTTTGAGAACAGGTATGTCACTTTTTCTGAAACGAAATTCTGCTAAGCATTCACTTTCGTCAAGCCTCTCGAGGTCAAAATGTCCGTAATTCTGGTAGGGAAAATCTGGATTTTTAGATCTGTTGACATCATACAACAGTAAAAATTGATCTTCTAAAATGTCGCTATCATCGAAACTTGTCAGTAACAATTCACGAACCTTTCTAAAAGTAGCCATCGCTCTTGTATTTATTTCTAAACTTCAACAGGAAAAGGCGCTACAACAACCCGCCGTCGCGCGAGTTTTCTTAATGCTATTTTTCGCGCCATTGCGACGGCGACCTCACCCCAAGCCCCCTCGACCAAGTCTGCCGTCGTAGAATCTCGCCGTCGTCGGATCTTAAGCTCACTATTATAAAATCTGGTACCGCACGCTGTCACTGAGGTTATACTTGAACGTGCAAAGCAGTATTTAATGGGCCGGTAAGTTGTGAAAGCCTTTATTTTGTTCATTATTTTTGCCTTCGTTGTTTACCTATCCTTGCTGGTGTTGTTGACACTTTAACAGACCAGTTCGTTTGGTTGCAGGCGGACACTGCGATAAGCAGGAGAAGAACAGCTTAGTGCGAACATTTCGGATGATGCCGGTGAACAGGATCTCGACGATTTACGAAGTGGACTGATCTTTGGCAGGTATGTTGTGCAGCTTGGCATTCCGCTTTCAGCGATAAGCTAGAAAACCTCTATGTAAACTTAAGCTTAACACTGATCTTCGCCAAACAAAGACCGTCAAGAGTAGACGATGTGTGTGCCAAGTTACGACAACCTGCTCTAACGACAACTTTTCTAAAGAAGGTTCGTTTTCAAAGAACAACAGGTGTCACCTCTGTGACTCCGAAGCTGGTCATTCTTCGTCGTTGCTTGGACTGCAGTGCAACGGCAAAGGTTTGCGAATCTTGTACTATTTCACGACAAATTAGGTATTTCTCATTGTCTGGAAATCCTTAATGTTCTTAAGACTAAGTTGGTCCCTGATCTGGGTACGTAAGTTGGTATAAGTTGCAATAGTACGAGTTAATTGAAAATGTAAATTTCTACAGGTTCAACCCGCACTTCAAATCAAATTGCTGTGAATCCAGTCAATCCCCCTTATGCTTTTAACCTTCATGCTAATTATTTTATTTTTGAAATAATGTACGTGGTAGGTACTAAGAGAAAGCGTTTGCATTCTCAGCTGCTCTAACTGCATCTCATTGAATTTGCTTAAAGTTGGCTAAAAACTGCTCTCAGATCTCTTTGTCAACTACGTTATTTGTCAGTCATTACAATGTATCATTTTGCTTTTTTTTCAAATTATTATCTTATTAAATTTTATACATAAAAGCCGCAGTAGACGGTCTAACATGATTTGATAAATATACACTTGCCTTACTTCACATGCATCCCCAGCTGCCTCTAAACAAGCCTTGGTTTCAATTATCAGCTTGTGTAACCACCATCACAAAGATTTTCCTTACTTCCCGTTATTCTATGGTTTTACAGATCCCATTTGAAACCAATGTATGCATTGGAAGCTGGCCCCCTTGTTGGTTTGTCATTTTCAGTAGATTTCCTTTCAAAATGGTTGAAAAACAAGTTTATTTAAACTAGTTTGCATGAAATATAGGGCTAAAAAATGCATCTTTGATCCTTGTTTCATGCTTTATGTGCCAGATTTGTTATTGTGAAAAGTGCACTTAGCATGCATTCCAGCTATTTCTACAGGCACTCCACGCAAATCATTATGGAAACAAATAATTCGACAATTAAAACATAACAGGATTAAAAACCCCAACCGGCACTCGAGGCAACCAGTAGAACTATTAACAATCAAGGCTGCCACTAAGAACAAATCAGGCAAGTGACCACAACAGGACTGACAGAGCGCAAAAACCGCAAGACATGCGCACTAGAGCTCTCGCCTCTTTTGTATTCCCCCCTTTCGATTTTCAAAATGGCGGAGGACTAATCAGAATCTAACACGTCACTGCGGATGCTGCCAAGCCGCTGTCCTCGCTCTGAGAATTTTTCAACATCGTTAAACGGAATCTGTCAGCATTCAGCCATGTCTTGGCGACGCTAGCGAAAAGATCAGACTTAAACAGGTTCTCTAAAGCAGCGATGTTTGTGACCAGCTTCGGAGCCAATTTTGAAGCTTGTTGTTTCGAAGAAGGGCAGGTTTTTTGCGTTTGTTAAGGTGGTCGCTTACTCTTTAAGGTCAGGAAAGAGAAATGTTGGAGGTATAAAGTTGATGTGAAACATATCAAATATGACTTTTTTTTCGTTTCTATGGAAATTTTTTAGAGCTCTTTAAAAGTGGACTATTGTTTCATGACTTAAGAATTACAAGGAAGGCTTGTCCAAGGCGAAGTTGGAAGAAGTACAAGTATATCTACGTCATTTACCGCGTTGCTTCGCAATTTGTGTTTCTACTAACAGTGAAAGGAATTCGATTTGCAACTAGTTTTCACGAAAATTGAAATCTAGAACTTTGTAATCTCACCAATAAAAGTGGTTATCTGCAGATTTTTTTTTAAGTAGTAAAGTTCGAGTGATGTACATTGTGTTTTTTGAGGCGCTAAATATAAATACCCCTTG